CCCATGCCGACTTCAGTCAGAACTGCGCGATGGCGCCGGCCCCCCGCGCCCTTGACCCGCGCCGGGTACGATAGCAATATCTGCGTCCAGCACGCGGCAAACTCGCACGGAGACAAGTGCCACAGCTCTGGGAGCTTTGGGCGAAGGCCGTGCAAAATTGCCACGTCTCTGAGCGCCACCTTTCGCCAATTTCTCTGTCGCACGTCAACTTCGGGAAATTGCGATTCACGCCCGCCCGTAGCGCGGTCTGCGAGGCGCTCGCTCGACCAAGTCAACGTACTCGCGACAATACAGTGCTGTAGATTGACTAGACTTCATCGATTCCGCCGCTGTCACGCCATCCCCCTCGCAAACGCCCTCACGTTCGCACGCTCCACTTGCCCTCGCACGATGCCCTTCCCGTACGCGTCGCTCATGATTCGGCCTGCTATCCGCTTACATATCCGATTCACGGCTTCGCCGTCCAGCTGCCTGCCCAGCTTCTCGACGCCTTTGCAACACTCTCCAACCTCGTGAAGCGCCATGGGCTGCCGCTTCGCGCAGTAGTCGCAGGCGCAACAAGCCTGCGCGTCCTGAGCCATCTGCGCGACTTTAATGATGGCTGCGTCGTTGGGCTTCCTATCGCACCCTTTACCGCACGCGCAGCAAACCTCCGTAATGGGGAACCAACATGGCAATTGAACGTCCGAATTACGCCGTTGCGCAGACAACATGCACGGATGCGTGCCGTTCAGATACTCGTGATTCATCGGACCGTGCAGGTACCACTTCGATTCCGGCGACCCGCCCTCGGCATGTCCCACGCGTCTGCTTGGCCGGGACACAACGATGGCGCGGTCTATGAGCTGCGACGTGCGCGGGAAATCTGCCTTACACATCTTCGGGTTCCTCCCGACGACACGCAGGCAGAGGTATCCGCTGCCCGGTCCTTTCGTTCTCTAGATGCACCACGTGGTGTTGCTTCCTCTCGTACAGGTACTGCACATCCTCCTCCAAATACGCCTTTCCCCATGCAACCGCGTCGCCCACGGTCTCCGACGCCGCGGCGCCCGGATCTATCGTGCGGATCTGGAATGCAGGCCTGCACACGAGATCCACCTCTGTTTTGAACTCGGGCCACGACTTCTCTGCCTCCTCCAATGTTTGATTAACCTCGTCAGTAGTCAAATGCTTCGAGTACACCTGTCGACACACACGGCTCTTGTACTCCAAGTACCTCTCCACGACCTTTTGCCCCGCCCGTCCACGTCGGCTCGAACGATATCGATGACTTCTTCAAGCAGGGTGCGCTGGTGCAGGCAATGTATGAATACCTGGCACTGCGCGTGGAGCGATCCGGTGGACTTCTGCGCTTCGATGGACACGCAGTAGGCAACGACTCGACCGAACGCACCCCTCTTTGAGAAGCACTACTCCGAACTAAATCGGGGGTCGGCGGCAAAGGCGGCAGCCTTTACATACACTATCATGTTAATTGATGTTATGGCATGATTACCTAGACTTTGCCGCGCCATGCGGCGCCATGCTTTATGCCACACCAAGATACGGTACGGTACACGACGACGTCGTACGCACGACTATGCAAAAGGATGTCCGCTGGTCCCCTCGGGGGTCACCAGGCTGCGCGGCGGAAATTGTCCAGCACCCTGCTCCACTTCCAGTTGCCACTCTCCAACATTACAACTTTATTTCCTGCTTCCTACTGTAAAATTGTTACTACCCGCGAAAAGGGGGGAAGCCGAAGACCACCCGGCTACCACGCCCGAATCGAGAAGCCTGCATTTCTGGTAGGTCTGGTGCGCGTAAATTACATGAGATTAGCGCCCCCGATGTAAATTACACCGGATTCACGCTCCCGGGGCCAGAATCCGCAGTAAACGACCCCAGGTTCACTTCCCCGAAACCACCAAAGTCTCCCATGAACTGCGCCAGGCTCGCGCTCCCGAGGCCAGAATCTCTCATGAATTGCCCAAGGCTCCATCTCCCAACACCAGAATCTCAAAAACTGTACCGGATTCGCACTGCCGAAGCCAGACTCTTTCGCAAATCACAACAAGTTCGGGCTCCCAAGGCCATACCACCTTGTGAATTACGCCAGGTCCGCACTCCCGAGGCCAGAATCCGTCGAAAATTACACCGCGCTCGCGCCCCCGAGGCAACGATCCCTTGTAAATTGCGCCAGATTCACGTACCCGACGCCACGAGCCCTCGTAAATTATGCGCGATGCGTGCCCCCCCGACACTACAATCCCCGTGTATAAATATATATATATATATATATATATATAGATTTCTCTGGATTCGAACCCCCGAAGCAAAGATCCCTGGCAACTCACACCCGATTCACGCCCCCGAGGCCACGATCTCATTTAAATGACGTCACGAGTTCTGTTCCTCGCATGATGTTCTGACATGCGAACGTTTCTTTAATCGGCGTTTCGACACTGGGCGGCAGGAGGGGGAGGGGGGGGTACGGACGACCACAACCACATACCAGACATGGGGGGGGGGAGCACGGTCGCATGGGATACTATACATGAGGGGATATAATTTTGGGGGTTTGAACGGCCCTCCTCCCTCCTCCTCCTCCTCGTCCTCGCTCCTCCGCCTCATCTCCACTCTCTGGGGCCTCTCTGGACATGGCAAGTACCGTCGGCCTTGGTCTCGAGGGTGCTCGAGCCTCGAGTTCGGGAGTCCTGGAAACCTGGGAATCCAGGGCCCAGGGAGTTTCAAAACTTTTAACTTTTAAAAGTTTAAAAGTTTTGAAACCTTGGGGGTCCCTGATTTCCTGATCGTCGGGGATCCTGGAGATCTGGGAATCCAGGGCCCAGGGAGTCTCAAAAGTTTTAAAAATCTTAAAGGTTCTTTTAGGCGCCCTAAAACTTTTAAAACTTTTAAAAGTTTTAAGAGTTTTGAAACTTTGGGGGTCCCTGGTTTCCTGACCGCCGGGGATCCTGGAGATCTGGGAATCCAGGGCCCAGGGAGTTTCAAAAGTTTTAAAACTTTTAAAAGTTTTAAAAGTGTTAGGGCGCCTAAAAGTTTTAAAACGTTTTAAAGTTTTAAAAGTTTTGAAATTTTGGGGGTCCCTGATTTCCTGACCGTCGGGGGGGGGTCCTGGAGATCTGGGAATCTGGACCGTTTGGGACCATCTTGGGCCGTCTTGGAGCACTCTTGGATCTTTTTCGGGCCCTTTGGATGGCCTCCTGGGCCGTCTTGGGACGATCTTCAGGCATCCGCGACAAAATCAAATTTGTTGCAGTTGCTCGGGGGGGCTCCTTGGGGTCGTCTCGGAGCACTCTCGGGCCTTCTTGCCCCTCCCCCTTCTGAGGCTACCTTGGAGTCTTGCGAGTGCTCTGCGAAGGCTCCAGGAAACATTCAAAAGGATGTCCAGGAGGTCCCCTGAGCATCCGCAACAGAATTGATTTTGTTGCGGGTGCTCTGGGTAGGTTCTTGTGGCACTCTTGAGCTCTCTTGAAGCCCTCTCGGGCTCCTCCCGTGATTCCCCGAGAGCGTTAAGAGGACACCGCGAGGGCTCCAGGGAAACTCCATGAGGATACCAAGAAGCCTACTCCAGAGCATCCGCAACAAATTCCCCAAACAAGTGCTTGCACCTAGGGGTTCTTACTTGGTTTAACCATCCGGGGGTAACCGCCGGCTTCTCCAGGCGGCGCCGCCCGTCGCCGCACCGTCGCCGCTTCGTCGCCGCCTGTCGCCTGGGCCCCGTGCAGTGGAGGGTGCAAACCTCCTCCTTCCTCTGTCCTCTCTCCTTCCTCCTCCCGCTATCCAGCCTGTGTTGCAGGTCACTCCAACTTCATCCGATCTCCACCCCCCTCCTCTCTGGTTTCATTCGTCTCCACCCCATTTATTATCTTCCTCCTTTTTCGTTTCGTCCTCTTCCCCTCCGCCTCCTCAAGAGGAGGAGGAGGAGGAGGAGGAGGAGGAGGAGGAGGAGGAGGAGCTTGAGCTTCCCTTCGGGTGAGCGCACCTAGGTTTCACTGTGAAGCTCGAAATTCCAGCCTCGAGGATCGAGATGTGATGTTTTCTGGCCTGGGGGGGGGCCCTCCTCGTCGCCAGGGCTGGACGCTGCTTGGAAAACTAATGTGTTTGCATGTCGGGAGGGGTCTGGGGACCCGTTTTGAACGGATGTTGGGCCAGGCGCTACCCTCACAGAGCAACTTGGGAGCACTCCCAATCCAGCCTGCACTTCCCCCCTCTTCATCCTCAGTAGTCTTTTCGGCTCTGGCTCTCCATTGCGCGCTTTCTATATGCCCCTCTTTTGCGGGCATGAGACATTGCGTAATATGTGGTGCTGAACCAATCAAGCAAACGTACGAGCTCGGCGAAGACGACAGTGCGTTTCTTAAGGAGCATGGATACATCAGGCATCCTCAGCGAGGTGGTGTTCGATGTTTGGTGTGTTGGCAATGTTCTGGTATGATCGGTGTAACTGGGCGTCTGCAGAAATACACATTGATGGTCGCTGCTGGTTTGCTGTCGTTTTTGCGCCGGGTAGCGCCTGAACTCGCGCCTCTGCATGCTGCCAACTTGCAAAGTGTGGCGGCGCACATGGACAGCGCCTCGTTCAAAGGCACCCGCCACGGCAGTGCCGATTACCGATTGGATCGGACGTCGCTGTGGCTTTCGGGACCTGTGAACGCCCTGTACGGTGACTCAGTAGCTGTATTCCTGTTTATGGTAATGTTTGTTCGCATGTGTTGTAACCACAACGATGCCGCGCAATCTTTCTTAGCTCGCTGGCGTCAGCAGGTTGGCGATGTGTTGCGGCCCAGTAACTGGAACGCCAAGCTCGTTTTGCCTTTGCTTTTGGATGTGTGGAACCCGAAAGAGCATTGGACAGGCTATGGGCCGCGCATGCTCCCGCAGTCTCACCGGGGCGAGAAGGGCCAGTGGCAGCAACAAGGCGCTCAGGTCATGAACGACGTGGCGCGGCGGATTCAATTGCCATCTCTGTTCCGCCATCGCCCGTGGCTGAGCGCCAGGCCCGACAACGAAGCCACCGTCAAGTACATTTCTTCTCTGATGAACCTAGACAGCTACCGCGATGGCTTCTGGCTGTACATTGTTGCCCGAGACCTGCAGGCAAAGGCGCCGTCGTCGTTCGATGCTGCGTCGTGCTACAAGTGTGGCGAAAACGGCGAGAACGGGCTCGACGTCATTTTCCCCAAAGTGAGGGCTACGGACAGTGAGCTCCGCACACTTAACCGAGTGGAGAACAGACTCCAGCTGGCACAGCTGGTTGGGACAAACTGATCACAAGCGCGCTGAGCACCGACGTGTTGCGGTTCGTGCCCGACATAAACAGCGGCCAGCACCACGAGCACAACATGTGCGAGTACATGCAGCAACACGAGCGGAAAGACAAGACCTCGTCGAAGAACCAGCCGCGGGAGAGGCGTAGCGACGCGGAGCTGCGGGAGTTCTTCTCGGCGTCCCTCCCCGGCCTCTTCGGCGAAGCCGAGCACGGGCACGTGAGGGTCGCTCTGGGCGCTGGCGAAACCAGCCAGGCGGCGCCACTTAGCGACGCAGACTTCCTGGCAGCGCTGAAACTGGCGTGGCCAGACCAAGTCACAGACAACGGCATGTGGCGCAGGTCATTCGCCGACCGCCTCTGCAAGCGGCCCCGTCACGCCTGACCGTCACTTGTTAAAGCCCTGGCCATCATACCGTCGATGCCGTCTCGCTGCTCGGGGGTGTAGCTCGCGGACCAATCGTCCAGCGGATTTCGGCCCGCCCGAGGCCGTCTCGGGGCGCCAGGAGGCTCTCTCTCGTGGCTATCCGCAGCTGTCTTCGGCTGTTCTGGGGAGATCCTGGGGACCTCCGGGCACCGAAAATAAGTGAACCGACGGTCCTCGGAAAGCGCAGGTCTTGGTTCACTTATTCTGGTTGGCTTGTGGGCGCGTTCGCCACCCCCGGGGCCGCCTCTGGGCGCCACGAGGCCCTCTCTTGTATCTCTTGGGGTTTCCCCGCAGCTGTTCTGGGCTGTTCTGGGCAGACTCTGGGAACCTCTGGGTACCGAAAATAAGTGAACCGACGGCCCTCTGAACGCGCAGGTCTTGGTTCACTTATTTGGGGGGGCTTATGAGCGCGTCCGCCCCCCGCCCAGGGCCCTCTCGGGGCGCCCCGGGGCTCTCTCTTGAAGGTCCCCGCAGCTGTCCGGGGCCGTCCTGGCAGATCCTGGGGACGTCTGGGCGCCGAAAATAAGTGAACCGACGGCCTTCTGAACGCGCAGGTCTTGGTTCACTTATTTTGGGGGGTTTATGAGCGCGTCCACCCCCCGCCCAGTGATCTTAACTTCGGCAGCGATGGGGTAAGCTGCAACAAAAATACAGCCCTCACTATTTCCCCCCTAGCATGTTCCTGCGCTCTCCGCAGTTGTCCTATGTATATCTGAATATATATATATATATATATATATATATATATATATATATATATATATATATATATGATATATATATATACATATACATATATATATATAATAATAATAATAATAATAATAATAATAATAATAATAATAATAATAATAATAATAATAATGATACTAATAATAATAATAATACTAATAATAATAATACATATAATATATGTATGTATGTATGTGGCGATGGCATCGAAGGCCCTACCGTATATACATATATTAATTATAATATACATGCGCGACACATTTATATATTAAATATCTGTATACACATTAAATACATGTACCGCGTATGTGTATACGAGTATGCATCTGATATCATATATATAGATGACTATATATATACATAACATATAACATATGTATGTATGTATATGGCAACGGCATCGAAGGCCCTCGCCATTATTCCGTCTCCCTCCCCAGGAGGTCCCAGGATGCCCCAGAATGAACCAGGAGGCCAACCAGGAGGTCCCACGAAGCCACAGGAGGTCCCAGGAGGCCCCAGAAGGGCTCAAGGAAGCTCCGGGAGGGCTTCAGGAAGCCCCAGGAGGGCCCAGGAGTTTCCACAAAACCACAGGAGCTTCTAGGATGCCACAGGGTATCCCCAGGAAGCCCCAGGAGACCCCAGGAGGTTCCAGGAGGCCCCAAGAGGCCCCAGGAGACCTCAGGAGACTCCAGGAGGCCCCAGGAGGCGCCAGGATGCATCAGGAGGCCCCAGGAGGCCCCAGGAGGGCTCAGGAAGTCCCAGGAGGCCCCAGGAGGCTCCACGAGGCCCCAGGAGGCTTCATGAGGCCCCAGGACGCCTCAGGTGGCTGTGTCTGGTATGTGGTTCTGGTCGCTGGCACGGGAGGGGGGGTCTGGCTCCGGACCTCTGCTTAGTGCGTCCGTTTGCAACGGTGCGTCCTACGGGGGAGGGACTCCACCTGCACGAAACAGGCGCCCAGAACAGCCAAGATCCACTCCAGGGGGGGGGGGGGGGCAAGGGTCCGCGCCGAGGAGAAGGAGGAGGAGGAAAAAGGGGGGACAAGGAGGAGGAGGAGGAGGAAGAAGACGAGGAGGAGGAGGGAGGGGACAAGGAGGAGTAGGAGGAGGAGGATCGGCAAAACGATGAATAAAAAAACAACTATTGGCGTGTCGAGGCCCAGGCATCCGAGCATGGGTTGTAGTATGGCGCATCCCGCTCTGACAGGAAGGGGGGGGGCAGCGGCAGAGGGCGAAGCCCCCAGGCAGACAAACAGTGGTGTGAAAGGAACGGTGTGCTATGCCATGATGCGTTACGCTCTGATATATGTACACACATACATACACACATACATACAAACACATACACACATACACACACACACACATACACATACACATATACACACATACACACATACACACATACACACATACACACATACATACATACACATATACATACCTACGCACCTACACACTTACATACATACATACAAACATACATACATACATGCATGCATGCATGCATGCATACATGCAGTACATTACATTACATTACATTACATTACATTACATTACATTACATTACATTACATTACATTACATTACATTACATTACATTACATTACATTACATTACATTACATACATGCAAGCATGCATGTATGCATACATACATACATCGTACATACATGCATGTAAGCATACATACATACATACATACATACATACATACATACATGCATACATGCATACATGCATACATACATACATGCATACATACATACCTTCATACATGCATACCTGCATATATGAATGCATACATACACACATGCATGCATGCATGCATGTATGAATGCATGCATGCATACGTACATATATTTATAGTATGCATAGGTATGCCATGAAATGGTATGAAAGTTTGTATGCTATCTGCGCAATGCGGTGTTAGTATGTGCGTGAGCACATGATAGACGAAAGTTTCTTTATCTGACATTGCGTGATAGGGTACGCACCCGCAGGTGATGAAATACCCATGTGATATGTCGCGCCAGGTTACACAACTGTATGATACGCTGTGGTCCGCAGAACGAAGCGAAGATGTGGCATGATATGTTATAGTGTTCACTCGTATGGTGTGGTGTGGAATCCCCTGCCATGATACGAAATGCTTCGGGGCAATGCTACTATGCCACCTTCGATGATATACGATGGTACGCGTTGCAGTACAGCTCGTTGCGTTGCATTGCGTTTCGCTGTGTACAAGTGCATCGCAAACGGACGCCCCTGGCACAAAAGAATGCCCATGACTGGGGTCGCCATAGGTTCAGTTACAAATATGCTGCAACTCCCCCCTGCCCACCCACCATGAACCTCGTCCGCTGGGCCGACCAGCTCGTCCAGGTCCCCTAACCGGCGGCGTGCAAAGGGGGCGAGACGAGGAAGGCGGCCTCCCCAGAAGCCGCAGCGCAGCCTAGAAGCCCCCAGCTCCTTCGAGGAGGCCTGCGCCTTCGAGAAGGCCTTCCTGGGAGCCTCTGAGGCAAGAGCCCTCTACCTATCGAGCAGGAGATCGGCTACAAGACTGTTCGCCCCAAAAATGCAACGTTCGTCGAATCTCCCAAAAATACATTACATGATCGAAAATATGTATAAACACTCTAAGTGTGCTCTGTCAATTCCTCGAAACACCAAGTTTGAGGTAAACCAGCTCTGCAATCGACATCCCACCCGAATCTTATCAGGAGGCTGCCCCACTCGCCCCGCACCCCTCGTGCCCGTCGCCGACCTAGGGCAGGCTCGCGGTAGCCCCCGTCGTCGCCGTCGACGGAGTTCATGTCGTCCTGTCGGGGGGAGGAGGAGGAGGAGGAGGAGGAGGAGGAGGAGGAGGAGGAGGAGGAGGAGGAGGAGGAGGAGGAGGAGGAGGAGGAGGGGGAGGTGGCTGCTGAGATGATCGTCGCCCGAATGCTGGACGGCCGTGTCTGCCAGAGACTCCGGCCTCCGCTTTGCAACGACTCTCGGGAGCAAGCAGGGGGGGAGGGGAAGGCTGAAGGAGGGAGAAGCGAGGAGAGGAGGGAGTGGGGAGGAGAGAAGGGAGGAGAAGGAAAAGAAGGGGGAGGAGGAGAAGGAGGGAGGAGGAGGACGAGACTACAGATACGTTCCCAACCCCTTCACACTAGCATCACTATCCCCCCACCAGGGACATGACATGCACCGTCCACCAGGCTGGAAAGCGTACAGAGCCAAGGACGACGAGTACTTCATCGGCAACTCCTACCCGTACGTATGGCCGCACCCACCGCTGAAACCAGACGCAAACGCTACGCCACGAACGTCCTTCCAGCTACCACCCACGGAGCCGACAACATACTTCGTACTCAGAGACGCAGACGCCAAGCCAGCAGACACACCTTCCACCAGCGCGACCACGACTAGACGAAGCACCACATAGAGAGCTAGGTCAAAGGATACAAGACTGTGCACTGCATGACAGGAAAAATGAAGACTTCAGACCAGCAGTCAATCTAACCAACTGGCACTTTTCCACCGTACTCAGCACACCTACGGCAACATCGAATGGTATCAAGATATCACACTATCAGATTGGTCCCGTACTTGTCACGACTACGACGACGACATGAAATATGACTGGGCAGTCAATATGCACGACACAGCATAGCTCCTACAGCACATCTGTAGTCAGAGCGACATGCCCTGCAGAACAAAAGACGACAGGGATAGCAGCCTCTCATCATCCGCATCGGGGTCCCCCGACAGCGACAACCAACCAGACGACCCGCCCCAACCCGCACCACAAGACGCCCGAGCTACACGACCGACAGCTACAACTACACCAATCCAACAAACAACAAACACCATAGCACCAACAGCACTGCATACCAATACCGGCAGAGTGATACGGAGCCCGATACACCCACCACCGCCAAGCCTCAAGATCCCAGTGATCTGCCCACCACCCAAAGCAGCAGCAGCAGCAGCAGCACAGCTCTGGCTCACCGACATACCAACGGCTGAGCTAGCACCACAGACCCTTGCATCCAGCTTCGCCCGTGCACTAAGTCTGGCACATCTGCAATGTAACGCTGCCCGTGACCTTCCCGACCCCGCCTCCCCAGCCGTTCCCCCAACTCTGCCCCAGAGACCGTCCGTCCACGACCTCTGCGGTCCGAGGCTACCCGTGGCCTTCCCGATCCTGCATCCCCAGCCCCAGACCCAACTCTCCCCAAATACCTTGGCGCCTCCCCAAACCTTGCCCCCACTCTACCCCAGGGACATTACGGGGCCTCTGCAGCTCGAGACTGGCTGTGACCTTCCCTACCATGCCGTCCCGACCATAGCCACCGCTGCAACCCATATGCCGCACCTTCTGTACCGCCTGCAGCTTAGGCTGCCCTTGACCTCTCCGACCCTGCCTCTTCAACTGTTGCCCCACTCTCCAGACAGCGACTTCCAGGGCTAACTCATCATCGTTGCCAGCCCCTCTTTCTGATCGGCCATCACTGTCGCATACTCCCGTCGTTCCTGGGCCCCTGGCGCGCGAGCCCCCTGGCGCGCTCGCACTTCGAGGTTCCCATGTCTCTTCGCCCGCGAGCTTCCCGACCCCAGGCCTGCGCGCCGCCGCCGCCCAGAGCTCGCAGACTCGAAACTCGACATCGCCCGCCGCGCACTGGTGCATGATGCCAACCAAGACTTGCAGGCAAAGCGCAGCGATCTTCGAGTCTTGTGTTCTACTGCATTATAGTTTGTTGTGGTCTGCTTGCTCTGCCGTGGCAGCTGTTCGAGTATGGAAAATATAATCGTGCTGGTGGGTGGGCACTGTCGTAGGCGTAGCAGTACTAGGACGAGTATGTCAAGGGCTGGTGGGTTATTGCATGAATATTACGGTATGCCCCGCTCTGTCACAGTGTGGTGTGTTATGTTACGGTCTGGTATGTGAACTACGTTGCTGTGTGCTGATATGGTACGAAGTGTCATGTTATGGTATGCCATAAGATAGTTTGGCATGTTACGATGTGGTATGGTATGACATGGTCATTACAGTATTGTATGTGTCGACGTGATGCGAAAGCGCGAGTCGACGGTGACAGTATTCAAATAGGCTTACCTTTTGGAGTCCTAGCTCATCGTAAGAAATTGGTCTTTAGGACCCCCCCCCTTTTCCAATACTACCCCCCCCCTTTGTCCAATGGCACCCCCCCCCCCTTTTTCCAATGACACTCGCTTGCTTGCTCTTGCGTGTTTGTTCTCGCTTGCTTGCTCTTGTTTGCCCTTGCTTGCTTGCACTTGATCGCTGGCTCTTGCTTGTTTGTTATTGCTCGCGTGCGCTTGCTTGCTTCCGCTTGCTTGCTTGCGCTTGATTGATTTTGCTCCTCCCGTCCTCCTCCCGTCCTGCTCCCGTCCTCCTTTCGTCCTCCTCCCATTCTCCTCTCGTCCTCCTCCTGTCCTCTTATCTATTTGGAGTCAACGCTGGCTGATATACGTGTATGGAAGCTGTTATCCGTTGTCGTAGTGGCAGCAGTAGTCGAAAACAAATAGGACGGTATGGTATGTCATGTTATACTGTGGTATGGCCCACTATGTCGCATGCCAGGTTGCCATGTTATGATATGATGTACTCTGTGATCGACTAGCACAGTATGCTGCATTATGCTGTGGCACGATAAGGTATGTTATACTATAGTCTGCTGCGTTATAGTATGGTATGTTATGGCATGCCATGCCCATCATTGTTGCATATTATGTTAAGTGTGTGCATGTATGCTATGTTGGAGTATGGTATGGATTACCCGTTGTCGTAGTTGTAACAGTAGTAGAAATTGTGGTATGTGATGTTGTGCTTGTGTGTGTTACACTACGCTGTGCTCCACTATGTCATATCACACGCTGCTGCATGATCTTGTTATGTGATGTGTGGTGTTTGGGTCCGTCATGCTGGCATATCACGTAATGTTATGGAGTGCTGTTTTTTATGGTATGATATGGTTATTGTCTCATGTTATGTTATAGTAGACTCTGCTCTGCTCTGTTATGTCATTGTATGTTTGTTCTGCTATCCGTAAGAGTTTCGCCCTCTGCCGCCGGCCCCCTCTGTAAGAATGGAACATATCAGAGCCAGGTCGGGGTGTCTGGGCGCCGTCTGGAAGACTTCTGGGGACAGTATCCGGGGACATACAAGAATCAGCGGCAAATATTGTGATGCGGGGGCTATGATGAAACACTGTTGCATTTGTAGAGCGTTCCTCGCGCAAACCTCTTGCAATGTACAAGAGAATCTGGCTTCGGGAGCGCGATCTGCGGTAGTTCACAACAACAACAACAACAACAAGAAGAAGAAGAAGAAGAACAACAACAACAACAACAAAACTGTCCTTGGGAGCGCGAATCAGGTCGAGAGCGCTTTGGCAAAATGTAAGTATCAAGAAATCTGGCTTTGGGAGAGCGAGTCTGCGGTCATTTACATAGGATCGTGGCGTCGGAGGCGCGAATCTGCGGAAATTTACACAAAGATTCTGGTCTCGGGAGCGCGAATCCGAAGCAACTTACAATGGATTCTGGCTTAGGAATCGCGGATCCGGTGTAATTTACAAGGGATTGTGGCCACGGGAACGTAAGTCCCGTGTAATTTACAAGGGATAGTGGCCTCGGGGCGCGACTCTTGCGTAATCTACCATGGGTTCTGGCGTTATGGCTCCAGGGGCGCGAGTCTCACTTATTTCCACATGTTCCAGGGCCACCCAGGGAATTCTGAGAAGCCCAGGAGGCCGTGGTGGCCAGAGCACTTTTCGGCTCCCCCCTCGCGCGGAGAGTAACAATTTACAGTAGGAAGCAGGAACCGGAAACTGGATACTGGAACTGGAGCAGGTTGCAGGAAGCCTCATCCCCGCAGCCTGGTGGCCCCCAGGGGGGCCGGCGGATGCGTGTCCTTTTTTGCTGTGTGTTCCTGATTTCAATTCTTCATGTCTCTGTGCTCATCGTGGCGCCTGGACGGCGTGACGTCGTGACGCCTCACCCTCGAAGCCGTGTGGTACGCAGGGTGTCATCATTATTCGAGGACGCGAGGCGGGAATTTCAGGGATTATCGGGATCCTGTGGGGTCTGGCGACCGCGGTATGGTGTCGTCATTCGTCGAAGACGCGAGGCGGGATACGCAAGGAGTCCTGTGATCCTGTGGCGTCTGGCGACCAGGGTATGGGGTATGCGGAGCGGGCAGACGGGGGTCCTTTCCTTAAGATCCAACAAGCCCCTTACCGGTCGAGTGGGGAATAAACATTTCTGCGCTGTGGGAGCCGCGCCCCAGCATGCCGCGCCACTCTGCATCCGCCGCCACGGCGAGGGGCCGGAGCACGCCGCGCTGGAGCCCGTGCGCGGGTGCATGCCGCCGCGCGCAGGAGGAGCGGACGGGCACCGAGGACGGGCACGGGGGGGGCGGGGGACGGGAGGATGGCCGTGGGAAGGGAGACGGGCGACGGGGGACGGAGGGATGTGGGACGGGCAGGGCAGGCGGGAGGGGGTACTCCGAGTTTCTTGGTAAGCGTCGGGGGGGCGTCACCCCCGCCGACAGCCCCACATCGACCCCCGTCGCGGGCAGCCACCGCGCACCGAAGGCGCTCCGACCCCCGTTGCGGCGCGACGGCGAGGCGAGGTTGACCTCCGTCGAGGGGGTACCCCCCGACGCTTATTAAGTAACCCAGAGTAGGCGGAGCCGGAGAGACAAAAGATGCAGGAACAGAAGACTGGAAACGGGGGCTCGGTTCGGTTCTGCCGTCAGCGAAAGCGAGGTGCACGGCCTTGGCAGCCAGCGGGGTGTCGCAGTGAGGGCCCAACCTGCTCATCAGAGCACTAGTTTACATGGCGGGGGAATCAAAAACCGAACTCGGTGGAGCGATGACCTTACTGAGAGCCACACCCAAGAGGCTCCAAAGGTCATCAAAACCGACGGCGGACACACGCCGCACGCAGACGGGGAAGGCGCACCCCGAAGCCCTGAGGAAGGCCTCGCCCCCACGAGCCCACCCTGTTTCCTACGAGCTCGCCGCGGCAGGCGGCACCGCACACCCCCTCGGCAGACCCTGCGGGGGGGGAGGAGGCCCGGGAGCGGGGCGTGGACGGGAGACGGGGATGGCCTGTCGGGCCTGGCACGAGCGCCGTCCCCGTGCCCCCGCGAGGAGCGGCCCGCTCCCCCCCCCCCCGAGAGCCCACGGGGGGGGGGGAAGCTTGCTCTCCGCCCGCCACCCATCGGGAACGGAGAGGGGCGCCCAGCCCCGAGCAGACTGGGAGGGAGGTGCGGGCTCCAAGGAGACGCACCACCACCACCTCCGCTTCCCCGCCCTCCTCTGCCCTCCTCTTTCGCTCCTCTGCCCTGGGAGAGGGAAGGATCTCTGGATCTGGATCCGGCACGAAGGCTCATCGTCAGGCCTGGAAAAGAACGGCAACGAGAGGAAGGGGGCGAGGGAGCTGATGATGGTGTATGTTCTTGGGCCCCGTAGGAGGGGGAAGGGGAGGGGGGAGGGGGGGGGAAGAGAGGGAGGCGGGGGGGCGGGGGGCGTGCACTAACTACCCGCTCACTGCGCGGTTCGCCCACACTCTTTGCGCTCGTCCTCGCGCCCCCACTGCCCGGCGGCGGCGGCACACACACACACACACACACACACCGGGCGGGTCCTCGTCGTGGAAGGCGTCCCACTTCCTGTAGTCGGCTGCCAGCACGGGTCCTGGCTCTCGCGCGGGAGGGTCGGGTGGGTGGCAATGGGACGGCGGCTGCGACTGCGACTGCGACCTGTTTGGAATGCCGCGAGGGCGTTGCAGGGTGGGACCGAAGCACCCAGAAGGCGGCTATACACCACCACCGGGATCCGTCCGAACAAACGCAAAATCTACGACATCGCCCTGTAGCTCCAAAAGGGCCCCTGGTTGCTCCAAACGGGGGCCTGAAGGGCCCCTTTGTGGCGAGTTCTCCCCCCCCCCAGTTAGGCCACCCGCCAATACCACCCGCCCGAGAAGAGGGCGGTGCAGTCGAAGGCCGAGCACCGCCAGGCAGGAGGGCACAGGGAGGGAGGCGGGGCAGCAGCACGAGGAGCGGAAGCTGTCTGTCGTCAGCGCTGGCGGTCGCGAGCGAGCCCGTGCACTGGGAACACATAAACGGAGGAGGAGGAGGAGGAGGAGGAGAAGGGCGAAGATAATTTCGTTGGAATTCGCTGGTACCCACACTCCGGTGGAGGAGGAAGAGCGAGGAGGAGAAAAGGGGTGGAAGAGGACGAGAAAGGGGCGCCGTAGGAGAATTTAATTGAAGTCCGCGGGCGCCAGGGTGTGCGAGACGGTCAGGCGCTGGTCAAAGCGAGCGGTGGGCTGAGGCACGACAGCGAAGGAGAAGTGAAGGCGAAAAGGGAAAGACAGGGCCCGATCAGACCGTGCAGGCCAGCGCGGCAACGCACAGGAAAAGCATGCCTGCGGAGGAGAAAACATGGGAAAGGCCTCTGACGTAGAGTCTACGCAGTTCGGGAGCGTTAAAACAGCCTCGGTAACGGAAACAGGAGGCCTTGGAAGGACGCGACGCCAATGACCCTGGCGAAGCTACGAGGGAGCCACGAAGCAACGTGTGGAGATCGCGGTTTCCCTAGGGCCGCGCGGGTGTCATCATGTAGGGGCATCTTGGTACGCGGGTGGCGCTGCCATATGATTGGCAAGGGGGGGGCGTGTTTGATTCGGTGTTTCGATATGGGGCGGCACAAGGGGGGAAGGGGGGTCTGGTCCCAGACCTCTGCTCACTGCGACTGTTTGCAAGAGTGCGGCCTATGGGGGGAACTTCCACCCGTTCGAAACAGGCGCCAAAAAATAGCCAAGATATTGCTATGGGTGGGGAAGGGGGGGTTCGGGGCCCGCCCCGATCGGCAAAACAATGAATAAAAAACAATCACGTATCGGGGCCGTGGGCCGAAGCCGACTCGTCTCTCGGGCCCCAGGGCCCTTAATGTTTGTTCAGTAACACATAAGGCCCAGGAAGGAAGCTGAGGCTCAGGGAGGAGGACGATTTGTTTCCTCACATCTCGAAGCTGCAACAGAACTCCCAGTCTTCCGTCGCGAACTTCCGCCGCTCCAGCTGCCGAACTATTCACTAGCGGTTAGGCTCTAGCAGGCTCTAGTTGTAATCCTAAGTGTTCGGCATCGGCTGACATATAGTGTCACGCAGGTCGCGCCCCTCAGGGAGCTCCGCCGACGGCCCCAAAAACAGGCTTGGCTTAGCGCCCCCCCCCGCCCATGTCGGCACACCCCTCACATGGATCGCGCACCGCAGGGAGCTCCACCTACGTCCCGAGATACAAAACCTTGGCGCGGACGCCAACCGGCTCGGCGCGTCGCACCGCGACGATGGGCGCGACGCTCGACCCGGGCCGCGCGCAGCGGTGCCCCGAGCCGACGGCGGCTCGGGCACTCGCCTGCGTCGCCGGCCCAGCCGAGCGCACAGCGCGGACACCCCAGGCCGAGTGGCCGCGCCAGGGGAGCGGCGGGCGGGCAAAAGCCGCACCGCAGGTGCCCCTCGCCGAACGCGGCGGGACACCCCCCCCCAGCCGAGCGCGCGCGGCGCCTCTCCCAACCCTGGGCGGCGCACGCGCCCCCACGCGCGCTCGCCCACGCAAGGAGGGCGGACTGCGCGACGCCTCGCGCCCATCGCTCGGGCGCGCGTCGCCCCGCGCCGCTGCGCGTCGCGCGGAGCCCTCTCCCTTTCGCCCAAGCACGGGGGCCGGGGCGGGGGCGCCCGCCCCGCTGTTTCGCGACCGCGATCAAAGTTGCACGACGCTCGCCCGCCACGCGACCCTGGCGCGGACGCCGAACGGCTCGGCGAGTCGCGCCGCGACGACGGGCGCGGCGCTCGACCCTAGCCGCGCGCAGCGGTGCCCCGAGCCGACGGCGGCACGGGCACTCGCCTGCGTCGCCGGCCCAGCCGGGCGCCCAGCGCGAACACCCACTGCCCTGGAGCGCTGGGCACTCGGCGGGCGGCCCAGCCGCGCGCGCCACGCGCGCGCAGGCGCAGACCCAATGCACCGCGCGCCGCCGGAGCACCAGCGCGCGCGCGCGCCCCAGCAGGCATGAAGCCTAGTCTCTTTTTCTTGCGCATCGCCGTCGAAGGAGCAAGTGCCCCTTGCCTCGAGAGCAGCGCCCCGCTCGAGACTCCACGGGTAGATGCCCCATGAAAGCAGCGCTGCGCCAACCGCCCGCGCGAAGCATCTCGGCCAGGCCAGGCGCTCGACCACGTCGAGCGCGCGCCCGCGGCGAAGCGCCTTCGCGACGAATTCCCCCGGACGAGCCGCGCCCGCCGCCCCGGCCGCAATTCGGACGGCGGCCGCGGCATCAGCGGGGGGGAAGTTCGCCAAGGCCTGCGCGCCCACGCCCGCTCTCTCGAAGAACGCGCGACGCGCCTGGATCTCTCCGCCGACGAGCGGCGCGCCACTGCGCCGAAGTGCAACGCCGAGGCCGGTCGCTCGTTTAGCGAACTCACGCGCGCGGCCACCTGCGCCGCGCACCCGCCGGCCGCGCCGCTGCGCGCTTCGGGCGAAACGCGCCTGCGACACGTGCTGCTTACGACAATACAAAGACGCAAAGCTCGGCAGATCGCCCACGATCGACGCCGCGGCCGCGCGCGCATCGAAGGCTGTGCGCCACTGTCTGAACGGCAGCAGCCCCTTCTGGGCCCCTGCTTCCGAGGGCCCGCCTCCGCCCCCTGCGCATGGCGCGAAGACCAGAAGGGCAGGAATGCCCACGACGCGCGCCAACACAGTGAGCCGCGCGAACGCGCGCGGAGCGATCTCGCCTTGAGGCCCAGCGAGGAGCACGGGCGGGCCACGCCCTCGCGCCGCAGCTTCGCCGCCTGGGCCCCCAGGGCGTCGACCGCAGCAGACGATGGCCAAGAGGACGGCGGCAGGTCGCGGAGGGGCGCCCGTCGCCCCGACGCCCGGCGAAGCACGCGCGGCTGGCGACCGCGCCGCCGCCCCCGCCCGATGAATGGCGGACCCATTCGCCACATGCTCGGCGGTCGGTTCGCGCGCGGAACGCAGCGCTTCCTCGAGGCGGGAAAGACCCCCCGCCACTGTCGCGATCCGCCCCCGGCTTAAACCTTCCTGCTCGCGCGCCGCGCGGACCAATGCTTCGACGCGCCCCACCACCCCGCCGGCCAGACCGCGTCGGCAGGCCAGCAGCCACCGCGCGTCGGGCGCTCGCCTTCCGAGCAGAGTCGAAGCCCTTCAGCGAGCCGGGCTCCACCTCAGGCAGGCGGGCCCAGTGAGCGACGTCATCCTGCTCCAGCGCCTCGGTCAGATTATTGCAAAGCTCTTCTCCCCGCGGGGCCTCGGACTCGGCCTCGGCCATCCATCCGCGAAGGGCAACCTCCGCCTTGGCAATCGCGCAGCAGCGAACCCCGATCCCGCGAGCGGAACTGCTGTCCTTTGCGCTACACCGCGAATGCCCGACCACCGCCGCGCCGCGCGCAAGAGACACGCCACACACGCGCACAAACGCGGCCATCAGCGGTCCCGGGAGACGCGCCTCGCACCAGATCAAACGCGGCCAACAGTGGGCCCAGGAGACGCGCCGCACATTTGCGCAATCGAGACTAGCATCGGGCACTGGCGACGCGCCATCCGCCCGCCCGAACACGGCCACCAGTGGGCCCAGGAGACACACCTCACACGCGCAGAACAGCGGCTACCAGCGGGCCCAAGAGACACGCCTCACAGACACAGAAAAGCGGCCACCAATGGGCCCAGCAGACACGCCCCACACGTGCTCAACCGCGGCCACCAGTGGGCCCAAGAGACGCCTCACACGCGCTCAAATGCGGCCGCCAGTGGGCCCAGGAGACACGCCTCACACGCGCGCCGACGCGGCCACCAGTGGGCCCAGGAGACACGCCTTACACGTGCTCAAACGTAGCCACCACCAGTGGGCCCAGGAGGCGCGCCTCACGCGTGCGCAGAGGTGGCCCAAGAAGCACGCCTCACACGTGCACAATCGCGCGGAACACGCGCGCGATGACGCCCGCACACACGGCCACGGTGGAATGGCCCAAAAGCCGCACCGCTGGTGACCCTCGCCGAACGTGGCAGGACCCCTCCCCAGCCGAGCGCGCGGGCGCCCCTCCCAACCCTGGGCGGCACACACGCCCCCTCCCGCGCTCGCCCACGCAAGCGGGGCGGACTGCGCGACGCATCGCGCCCACCGCTCGGGCTCGCGTCGCCCCGCTCCGCTGCGCGTCGCGCGGCGCCCCCTCCCTTTCGCCCAAGCATGGGGGCTGGGGTTGGGGCGCCCGCCCCGTTGTTTCGTGACCGCGATCAACGTTGCACGATGATTGCCCGCGACATGGTTCGAATAGTGGCACGCCCCTCACGCGGATCTTGCCCCGCACATACATGCAGATGCGGCACCAGAAGGAAGCGTCATAGCGTCGCCCCACTCATATCGGTACCCTTCTCACACGGATCGGGGCCCGCAGGAGGTTCCACGGACGGCCCCAGAGGCAAAGTTCGATTACCGCCCCCGCCTACTTCGGCACCCCTCTCACACGGAGCGCAGCCCTCCGAAATCTCCACACAACGGCCACGGAGGCAGGGCTCGCATTGCGTTCACCCCCCCTCGCTCCTTACGGCACAACCCCTCACGCGGATCGTGCCCACGAGGTTCGTCCAGCGCCCCCTCGCCCACGTCGGCACACCCGTCACACGAATCATGCCCCAGGAAGGGCTCCACATGGCACCACTGGTCAGCTTCGCATGGCATCCTGCCCCTCCCCCATCCCATCCCTTCCCACTGCGCTGATGTATTCTCTATCCGCACACGCGTGTCATAGCGGACCTGAAGTTCCAACACAAAAAAATCGTGTTGCGCGGCGTAATCGGAAAAGGGGAGCTGCGAGCACAGGAGGAGCAGGAGGAGGACGTGGCGACTGAGCAGCAGGAAAAGGAGGAGCATCACGAAGGATGAGAAAGGAAACGAACAGCAGCAGCAGCAGCAGCAGCAGTAGGAACTGGCGTGGACTGAGCGGGAGGCGCAGAAGGACCAGGGAAAGGCGGAGGAGGGGAAAAGAAGGGGGGCGACAACGATGAGGAAAGAATCGGATCCAGAAGAAGGATCAGCGCTGGAGTGAAAGCGTCATTCTGAACGACGGGAGCAGAGCCGTCATCCTAAAATGAGGCCCGCGCTGCAGCGGGAGCACGCTGCCTCGAATTGGGAAATAAATGAAACACCAAAACGCGGATGGGGGGGAGAGAGAGAGAGAGAGAGAAGAGTAGTATTGATATTGTGCATTTGTCGGGGGGAGGGCCGAGAAAGAAATGAGAAATCAGGAATCAGGAGGAGGGGGACGACAAGGAAAAAGGGGAGAAAGAAGGGAGAAGAAGGAGGAGGAGGACAAGGAGGAGGGTGAGGAGGAGAAGGAGGAGGAGGAGGAGGAGGGAAAAGATGCAACGACCGGATCTCAAGGTCCGCAGGAAGATCCCCCCCGCCCCCCGGAAGCTCCAGTGGTGCTTGCGTCGTCTGGCCAAGCCACACCGTCGCCCGTGGGTGGGGCCGCAACCTCCACCGCGGCCTCCACGGGGCCTGGCATGGGCGTCGCGTCCGCCGGCGGGCGCACCGCGGCCTGCGGGGGTCATCGTCGTCGTCGTCGTCGGCGGCGAGGCGGTCGGCATCGTCGACAACGGCGAGGAGGACGAGGATGGAGGAGGAAGGGGGAGGAAGAGGAGGCGGAGGAGGAGGCGGACGAGGAGAAAGAGGACGAATGGGAGGACGAGGAGGAGGAGGAGGAGGAGGAGGAGGAGGAGGAGGAGGAGGAGAAGGAGGAGGAGGAGGAGGAGGAGCGAGCGAGATAAAATAGGTAAAGGCGCCCAGGGAGCTGGTACTGGTCAAACCTAAATTCACGAGGCCCCGCGGTGGCCAGTCGCAGGAACTCGATACGCCCCCTAGAAAGATGGGGCACCGGAGGCGAAAAAGCGGATCCCGAGCCCCCGCCGGACGCCGCGAACGTCGGAGGCCCATCCGACACTCGGGGCCCTCCCTGGACCCCGAGAGCGCCGGAAGCCCATCCGACCTCACCTCGCCCCACGCCCCTCCGTCCCCATGCATCGCCGCCCCCGCCCGCGCCGCACCGCCCACGTTCACGAAAGCAGAAAGGGCGCGACCTTGCAGCCCCACCCGCCGTCCATAGGACCCTCCGCGGTTGGGGCACCCCTCCCGCCCTGGACTTTCACCCCCGCCCGCGGCGGAAGGATGGGGGCCCACGCGCGGGAAAGAGGCCAGGGCCGCGGCGGCGCCCTACTGGGCGGCGGGGCTCCACAAGGACCCCGGAGGCACGCCAAAGCGCCGCCGCCTCCGCAGGCGGAGCCGCGAGGGCGCGGTCTCGAAGCCCCGCCCATCCCTCATAAGGCCCTCCGCGGTTGGGGCGCCCCCCCACAGCGGACCCCGCCCCCGCCCGCGGCGGAAAGACGGGGGCCCACGGGCAGAAAGGAGGCCCCGCCGTGGCGCCGCCCATCGGACGGCGGGGCTGCAAGACGATCTTGGAGGCACGCCAGGACCCCCTGCCCGACCTCCGCGCGGGCGCATCGTCGACCCCCTCTGGGCGCCGTCGCCAGGCGGCGCGCAGCCCCCTCCAGCTGCTCAGATTCAGTATCCCATGACGCTGGCCTCCAGCTCTCTCTCTCGCGACAGCTGGCTAAGCAGCGTCGGAGCCCGCTGCCATTGCCCGCATGTCCCGCGTCGCAGGCGCTGGCCCCGTCGTAGCCGATGAGGCGCGCCCCCCGCTTCTTCTCGCAGTCGCTCGCTGAGCATCTCCCCGAGCAGCGCCAGGGCCAGCCGTCGCGGCTTGTCTGTCTCGCGCCGCAGGCGCTGATCCCAGCGTCGCCGCAGGCGCCGCTGGTCTGGCGGAATGCTCTCAATGCCCTCGCGCCGGCGCCGCGTGAGGCACGGAGTCGGCTGCTTCTGGGCGTCGCAGCTCGGCGGGCGCGGCCGACCGAGGGAGGGGGGCGGCAGATCCCCCGACAAGAAAGAGAACACCGTCGCCCAGACCAGTCACGCATCACGGGCGCTGTCCTAGCGCAGTGGCCGATGCTGCTGGCGCCCAGCTCCCGCTTGCAGCTGCTCCCCGGGCAGCGCTGGAACCTCCCGCCACGGCCCGCCCGCCTCGCGAGGCGGCGAGAGCCCTCGATGAAGCGCTTCAGCTGACACTCCGCGCGGTCGCAGTGCTCCGCGTCGCAGGCCGACGCGCGCCCGCGCCGCGGCGGCGGCCTGCCGTCGAGCGCGCATCCGAGCACGTCCACCTCCAGCGCCGCCGCGACTGCGCCGTCGTTGAAGCGCTCACCGCCCCCGAACTGCACCGGCCCAACGCGCGCGACCTCCCCGTTGAAGCGCGCGCCCGGCGCTTGCCGACTGCCGCCACCAGGCGGCCCAAAAGTTCAATGCGATCCTCTGGGCGATGCTGAAGCCCTCCTGCATCAGGGAGACGCTGCCGTGGAGTGCAATGACGGGGCCCTGCCTGTCGATGCCGATCTCGTCGCTGGCGCCATCCTGGGCGTCGCGCGCCCACATCCAGAAACGAGCGGGGCGCCTTGACCTGCGGCGCTTTTCGCACGCGCGGATGGGGACGCCCACTTCCCGCGCACACCCGGCCGCCGCCGCCGCTGGCCAGCGAGCAAGGCCCCCGCGCAGTCCACAGCGCGAGCGTGGAGTCGCGGTCGCGCGAGCTGGCGCTGCACGTCAGCTCTCGAACGCCGCGTCGAACTCCGCCCCCGCGTTCTTGGGCTTCACGAGGGTCGACCGGGCAGCCCCCCCGGGCGTCGCCCGCGCACCCCTGCCCCGCCCCTCGTAGACCAGCAGAGAATTGGGCGCGACGACGGAGTTCGGGAGGATAACGGACGGCCTGCCTGGCGAGGTGCTTCGAGCTTCCCGCCACTGAACGCATCGGAGTCGAGGTCCCCCAACATTGACGGGGCAATCATATCGCTGCAGTCCGCCAGCACATAGCCGCCCCTTCCGGCGCTGGCCGCCCGATGGCGGGGGCCCGGGCTGCGCGCTCAGGCCCGCGGAGGGCCGCAGCCCCCCCGCGCAGTGCCTGAACCTTTTGCTAGGGTCGCCCGCGGGCGCTGATCTCGGCGACGTAGCCCGCAAAGCTGTTCTCCACAGCCGTCGCGCAGCAGCTCGCTGAGCAGCGCCGGGGCCTGCTGCCGCGGCTCGCCCGTCTTGCCTCGCGCGCGCCGGCCCAGCGACGCAGCTGGCGAAGCTGGTCTCCGGCATCTTCCTGTGGCGGCTCGTTGAGCGGCGCCGCATTAGGAACGGACGGGGCGCCTTGACCTTGGGCCCTCTGTCGTTCGCGCAGTGGGGGGCGCCCACCACCCGCGCGCGCCGCGGGCGATGCCGGCGCAGGCCATCGAGCAAGGCCCCCACGCGGACAACGGCATGGGCGCGCAGTCGCGGTCGCGCAACTCCTCTGCACGCCGGCGCGCGGGCGCCCTCCAGCTACTCGCCATCAGAGATTGGGCGCTCTCGCACCGCGGGCGTCGATCCCAGCGTCGCAGCCGACGGCGCCAGTTCCCAGCCCCTCGCGCCGCAGCCCGTCGAGCAGAGCGCGCAACCGGGCTCCACGCGGACACTTCCTGGGGCCCAGGAGGCCTCGATATCGCACGTGGCCTGGATATCGCACGCGGCACATCCATGGCACGAGGCCTGGACATAACTGAGCACCGCACGAGGCCCGGATCTAACGCGAGGCCTGGATATCGCACGACCGCGGGGTCCAAACAGCGAGGGCCCGCCTGGCCTCGACGTCCCCCGACACCTGGACGTCGCCCGCGACTGGTGTGCCGACGAAGTTCCGCATGGCCTTGCTCGCGAGGGACTGCTCGGCCCCGACGTCGCCAAAGACACGGGCGTCGTTCCGCGACCTCGGCGCTGCCGAGGCCCAGCACGGCCAAGCCCACGGGGGACTGCATCGCCTGGGCGACGCTCGAGACTGGGGCGTCAAACGGGCGCGGGTCAGCCAACCTGACGAGGGTCGGCGCGGACGAGTTCGCGACCCCGACGTCGCCCGAGACCGGCGCGCGGAGCATGCTCAGATCAATCAAGTCGACGAAGCTCCGCGCGGCACGGGCGTCGCTCGCGACCTCGACGAGGCCGAGGCTCAGGGCGGCCATGCGAACGAGGGACTGCGCGGCAATGATGGAGCCCGAGAGGGCGCGACACAGGCGCAGGTTGGTCAGCGGCACAAGGCCCCGCGCGGTCTGGAAGTTCCCCAGGACCCGATTGCCACTTAAGACCAGCAAGAAGAAGCCCACAGAGGAGCGCATGGCCTCCTCGTCGCCAGACGGCGGGCGGGCGTTCTCCATCTGCTCGCCAGCGAAGATCGGGCACTGCTGGCCCAGAGGGGTGCCAGGGGGCCGCTGCCGCCAGGTGCAATGACGCAGCCCTGCCCTGCGACCAAGATCTCGTCGCCGACAACTCTGGGCGCCCCCCCCCTGCATCTGCAAGCGGGCGGTGTGCTTTGACACCAGGCACTTGCCATTCGCGCGGACGGGGACGTCGACCCTCCGCGCGCGCCCCTGGACGCCACCGCCGCGGGTCATGGAGCAAGGCCCCCACTTCGCCCACGGCATGAGCGCGCAGTCGCGGCCGCGCGAGCGGGCATCGCACGGCTGCCCCTCAAGCGCAGCGTCGCACTCCGCCCGCCCTCTCTTGGATTTCGGCCATGCTCGCCCCACGCGCGGCCGTCGGCGTCGAGCTGTCACACTCGCCGCCGGCGCCCGTCGCGGAGCTCCACGACGCGGCACTCGAGACTGCATTCGCGCCGCTCGCGGACGCCAGCGCAGAGCCGGCGCTCTCCGACGCGATGCTGCACAAGTTCGCGATGCTAGTATCCATCAGGTTGCTAGCGACGTGGTACTCTAGGTAGCACTCGCCCCACTCGTGAACGTCAGGGGCGAGCTGCTGCTGTCTGGCGCGCTGCCGACCGCCGCCAGACCAGTGCTCGACGCGGTGGTCAACGACGCGGCACTGGGGGCAGACCTCAAACCCTCGTGGACATCAAGGCCGAGGCGCTGCTCTCCGACGCACAGCTCGACGGCGCGCTGCCGGCACCCGTCGCAGTGGCCAGTGACATGGCACTCGAAGCCGCTCGCGCCCCACACGTAGACGTCGGGGTCGAGCTGGTGATCGCTGGCGCGTCGCGTTACTGACACCCGCCGCGGTGGCCAGCGACGTGGCACTCGAGGCGGCACTCGTTTCTCTGTTGAACGTCAGGGCCACGCTGCCGCTCTCCGACGCGCCGTTGGACGACGAGCCGAAAGAAGCGCTCGATGAGGGGCCTCTGGACTAGGCTCTGACATTATTCGCCATGCCCCCTAGGCCCTTCAAGATTCCCACGTTGCCCAAAAAATATTCTCCGCCTCGCGGGGACCGCGGCCAATGCTCGCGGCAGTGTCAGCAGCACTACCCAAGAAGACACCCACGGACACATCGTCGACCGCCTGGAACGCGCGGAGGCCACTGCTCATCGCTACGACTGGCTCCATCGGCACTGATGGCGAAGGGCCACAAATCATGAATTCGAGAGATGTCGACTTCCATCGACGCTTCATGTCAGATATTGCAGCAGCT